CTGTTTTCTGTCTCTCTTATGGGAACTTTCAGTATCTCTGTCTGTCTCTGTGTGATTGATGGGAAGAATAGGTAAACACAGCAGCTCACCAAACAATCTATACATTCAGTGCCTCAAAATTACTTTCATATGCAAGAAAATTGTAGACATATTTCTTCTTGTATTACTTTTGAGGGACCTCATTCAGTTGGATGAATAATGCATTATTTATGATCTGCTTTGACTGTTGTGGTGAAGGCTCTTGCAGAAAACTTATTTTAGCTCTGGGGGATTTACATATCGAAAGCGATCAATCTTTTGTCTCCCTTTGTAAGTAATTTGGCTTTGCAGAATCAGAAACCAAAATGTGATGTGGTTATAAATGTGGTTATAATATCTGATGAAGGAACGTTCAGGATATTATTCTCTCGAGAGCATCAGAGGAGTAACTAGCCATTCCTAATTAGAGTAAATTAATTACATACACAACCATCCCACTGGAATATGTTGAGTTATGAAATGAGTCTTTAGATCTGTTCCAAGCTGTCTATCTAGACATATTTTCAGAATCACACGTACACACTTCGACATCAAGGCTTTTCCAAAAGGCAAATAGCAGCATTCTGCTGGCTACTAAAATAACTTATTTTGACTAAAAAAACAGCAACCAGGATGCATTGAAACATTGAAAAAGAGTCATGCAAGATTTTAATTTTAATTAAATATTGTCTCCAAATAAAAATATGTCTGTGCTATTTATTATTTTTCTTATTACAGCATCAAATTAGTTATGCTAACACGAGCCTCTATTGTAATTGACTGACAGTTAATTAGAGAATTCGAGAAACACTATACACACACTATGTAAAACATTTCAAATCATTCATATGAGGTTCACTTTAGGTTAGGACTCGGCCTTTCAACATACATAGATGTTTTCAGTATACAGACAGTAGACAGCTGTTAAAGCATATGCTTTTGTGGTCTATGTGTGTCTCGCTGTAAGTGTGCCTATGTGTGTCTCTCTGGTCACTAAACAATGGTGGGTAACAACACTGTGGTTCCTTAAAAACACACTTTTAGACCAACACTGGAAAATGTCAACACCAACTTAAAATGGCTCTGGGTGGTCCCTCGCTGGTATGCAAATGAGCAGAAGGGGTATTTCTTACTGCAACATTCAAATTCAAATTTTGTCCGCATTTAGATCTGCTGAAAGAGATTAGACAATGGTTAAATACAGAATTTATAACTCATTATAGAACATATATATATACTGTATATTAGAGATGCACCGATACTCTCTGCTGATGCCGATAGCCGATTTTTCAGAATGATATCTACTGATACTGATGCCGATACAATAGTTTGATTTTCTTAAGGAGAAAAATCTCTCCTAACTGATGCTGTTAACTACACAGGGAACCCTATCATTTGGCTCATTACTATAATAATAAAGGTTAAAATTAAACACAGAGCTATTATTTTCAACTCCTATTATTTAGATATCATAATTACACTCAAATAAAAAAATTAAATGTCTGTTTACAACTCATTTGCACATAGTCTTCATAAATACCTGTCTTCATGCCAGATCAAACATATAAATAATTATAAGTAAAAAAGCTCCTCTTTAGTGTTGTTTTATAGATAACTAATTAACTGTGAACAGTGGATAACTTTGCTGAGGTGAATGCCATGTTAAGTGACATACTGTTGACAATCTATTTTATTGGCATCTTTCCGTGGTTTGAGCGATTATATAAGACATGATACATTTTGGTAAGCTATACTTTATCTTTCAACATACCTCCTGATGTTCATTCATGTTTATTTTGCGCTATAACTTATTAAAGTGGAAGAGACTCACGCTCCGCACTGCTGATTCTTTGTTTGAATTTCATGATAAAATGTACAGGATTTGAAAGCTGAGTCTTTGTTTCTTATAATAAATAAGAAAGCACAAACCTCTTTGCAATTATTGGATGGGAGGCGCGCTACAAATAATGTTTGGTCTAGAGAAAAACTGCATATCTGGCAACCCTGGCTTGAACTATACGGGTCAAATAGAGCCTGCTTTACTGTCACTATTTTTAACTGTTAATGGTGACACGTTAATTTTGACAGCCCTCAATTCAGAGATTTTCTTCACACAGTATGAGTTACAGTCTGACACGATTTTCCACACACACACACACACACACACAAACGCGAAATAAACCAGATTAACAACGTCACAGCTTCATCTAAATGTATTTATTATAAAATCTGAATTTCATATTATTCAAGGGTATCTGCAGTATTTAAAAAATAAAATGTAAGACTTTTTAAGAACTGCACAAATAAAATTAAAACCATATATACAGTTCAGTTACAGGTTTTCACAAGCAAAAAGTTTCATAAAATGATAAACTTCACATTTCAGCCTTTAAACCATTTTTAAGAAAAAAGGGATAAGTCAAAAGTATCAATTATTACATTAAATTAAACAATTATTACCAATCAATTATTATATTAATTTAATAACATAAAATATATCTTAATGTCTTAATTTTTAAGGTTTTTAAAATGCATTAGCATTAGCGTCTTGTCGATCCACCGGTTCACATTTACAACTGAGTGTTTACTGCATACAAATATGGGTTGATTTTCGAAGTGGTTTGAACAAAAACAGCAGACTGGCTGTCATTTTTCGAGTCTTCGCTATTGCTTCAATGCAAAGGAAACCAGAACGCCATTATTTGTTGCGTAGTGAATGTTCAAGTAAGCTAGCATGCTCAGATAATGCGCAATTAGGCTGCATTTAATATATCAGCTTATTTTTACTATAACAGCTGATTTTCTTTAGCGGGAGTTAATTTCAAACCCTGTATATATATATATATATATATATATATATATATATATACATGTATCTCTCTATAAAAGAATGTCG